GTGTAGTACTTTCTCCCTTTGTCAAAGTTGACTCGTTCCTTTGTTTAGACATCAGGAATTGGATTCGAAACATTGAGCAGCATGCCTCTGACAATGTCAACAAGATATTGGTGGGTAACAAGGCTGATATGGATGAAAGCAGGAGGGTCTCTCTCTCTCTCTCTCTCTCTCTCCCTCTCTGTGGGTGTGGGTGTTTTGTGGGGGGGTGGGGGGGTCGCATTTGATAAGCACGTGTCTATACAATTGAAATGCATGTGTTCGTAATTCTCAGCTTTCGCTAAAGGTAAGTGGCACATGAAAAGCATTAAAGAAGTATAGATGGATCACACCTTGGATACAGTTCGGCCTCTGAAAATTTTTAATTTTGAATTTTTTATTACTGAGTTTCATATACTTAATAGATCAGGAGATAATTTCGTGACAAAGAACACAATCAAACAAGAACAAGACTTGTAGAGGAAGGGGAAAGAGGGGAGAAGAGGAGAGAGATAGAAAGAAAGAAAAGGGAGAAGCTGAGAGAAGAAATTGGGAAAGAAAGTATTGTTTATTTTATTCATCAAAAGTCTAGCCATCGCAATGCATAACCCTCTTTATTATAAGTTTTCAAAATTTTAGTAGAACCTAACTATAAAAGTAACTCAAAATTACTAGAATTATTTGTAAAATAAACCGTAAAGACTTTTCATTAATAATCGAATCAAAGAGTTGAAATTCTTCATGAATGTAGATATATACCTTCAACATCCTGAAATCTAAAAGCATTACCAAAGTCGAACTGAGTTGTTTAACCTTTTTTTTTTAATGAGGACTTTCTGGAAGTGTTGAAAGTTGAAACCTCATTTGAAATTATGCTTTATAATGTGTAGACAATCGTCAAGTATAAACCTTAGAAGAAAATCAAAATCTAATTAGACGAATTGTTTCTTTTTCCTGGGTAATATAACCATATTAATCTGACTAATAAAGCATAAAGTAAGTGTTTAGAAAAAGCTTTATTTGGTCTTTTTCTTGATCAACTATGCAAATGAAGCTGATTTTTTTTTTAAAAATAGAAACCATTATAAAGGAGAGAGTGGCATACTAAAAATGAAAAACTTTTTGCATGCTAACAATTTATCAAGTAGAGACAGACAAAATGTGCTTTTGGATTTTGGAGAAATCATCAACTGGGGAAAAATTATGGTGTCACATTTTTCTAATTTTATTGCAACTTGGTAATAGGAAGCCTTGCAGCATACTAATTAACTTTTTACTTATATATGAATTAGTCTGTGCATAAAGTAAAATTATTAAATATATTGATATATGGTTAATTTTCCTTTCAATTAAACTTTACAAGAATTTTTCTCAATGTGATATCAATTGTTAGGCAATTGAGTCATTAATTTTGGACATGGAATGATATTGCTCACTAAATAATTCAGTAACCATTAGAGGTATTTAACATATATGATAATGATAATTAGATGGACGACTTTACATCAGATAGACACAAACATGTATCAATTATACGTCTTTGATATGTAATTTAGCTTGTTTTTGCTACTTAATATTATATGGGTTACTTCTTTCTGTAGGCCGTTCCGACATCCAGGGGTCAAGCACTTGCTGATGAATATGGAATTAAATTCTTTGAGACTGTAAGTAGTGCTTGTTGAGTTGTTGTTGATGTTGCAAATATTTGCCTGAATTTTATTCTGATGACATTATGTTAAACAGAGTGCAAAGACAAATATGAATGTGGAGGAGGTTTTCTTCTCAATAGGCAGGGATATAAAGCAAAGACTTTCCGAGACGGACTCAAGACCTGAGGTACTGTTCTTTTCCTTGTTGGGGAATTTTTAAGAGCATGATTGGCTAAGCTTAAAAAGTAAAAGTTACTTTTGTTTTCAAACATATTTGAATAACTTACTCTTAAGTAACAATTCACTTATTTTGAAAGTAACTCTAGCTTACCGTCAAAATAATTAGCTTATTTTCACCTTTGACCAATAAATATTATTTATTTTTATTCTTATTTACTCCCGAGCAACTTTTTAAGTTTAGCAGAACATGCTCATTAGTGCTCAGCACTGACCTATCCGTTAATTTGATTATCGCAGGCTCCATCCATTAGGATTACCCAAGCGGACCAAACTGCAGGGGGTGCTCAAGCAGCACAAAAATCGGCTTGCTGTGGTTCTTGAGCAATCCTTTGCATTGAAGGTAGGCCGACCAATTACATAACCATTTTGAGGGAGGAATTAATGTTATGGCAATACCAATGTTGCTAATGTTGTCATTCTCATTTAATATAGTCTCCACACAATTGTGTTTTGGGAGTAAATCTTTATTTGAGAAAGTAATAGCATTCAAGTCTTTCTCATGAACTCTTCTTCATTGGGTTGACTGAAGATGATAATTTAGTAAATTGGTTTTATTTTATGGCTGATTTGAGTGTAAAATTGAAGCTGCTCTCTTTCTGTTGGTCCAAACTTGGAGGAGTTATTAAATTGTGATATGCCATCCACTGTCTGCTGCTATTATTCTTTACTATTCTTTATTTTCGCGGTCTCTACTTCAGCATTGGATTTTGATGGTTAAATGCAAACTTTGAGCATATATGTTGGTTCTTTAAACTATAACACACACAAATTTGATTAATGTGATTCGGTTTCGCATTTGTGAAATTTTGATAGATGTTATTTGTGAAATTTATTTTTATGTATTTATAATTTAGCCCCCGTTTGATGGAAAATAATGTTTTAAATAGTATTTTTTTTTAGAATATATGGTTGAAAATAAACCCATGTTTGATGACCATTATTTGGCCAAAACAATGTTTTGAATAGTAATTTTTAGGATAATGTGTGGATAAAATGTATGAAAAAGTTTCGGGTTTCCTGTAGAATATTTTATCGTATGAATGTGTGGTTGAAAATGAGTACGTAGAAAAAAGAGTTTTCAAGTAACAGTATTCAAGCAGGGTTAAGTACGTAGAAAAATAAGTTTTCAAATAATGGTTATCAAACAGGTTTTGTTTAGAACTTTCCAAACATGCTGGAAAGATGAAAGGCGAATTGATTGATTTGATCCAAAATGTTCTCTCAGTCTCTTGTTATTGGAAGGCAGTTCCACCATGGGATGCTTGGAATCACTTTGCGTGGAAGCAACGACACGCCCATCATTTTATTCAGTGCATTTTCGACCAAGTATTTGGCTAAAGAAGTCCATAAAAATGGATTGTTAAAATTAATAATTAATTTTAATCATGGAGTATGTTTTATGAAATTTCAAATTTTTATTAAATTTTTAATTATATATTTCATCAACTTTTATAAAAATTTACTAAAAATCTGTTTTTTTAGCAAAGACAAATGCGGGATAAGTAAATTTTGTTCATAATTTTTTCCCCTTACGTTAAGGTAGCCAGTATTTTTGAAATTTGAAACTTTTAGCTAAGAACTACGAAAAAGAAAATTATTTGTATTATACCATACTTATAATAAAAGAAATTAAGCCTAGCAAGCATGCACTGGTAAATTCCATTGTTCTAAAAAGTGACACCTAGGTGCGAAGTAGGTTCAGAACGCCTTGCCTTTTTTGCGCTTTTTTTATTATTTTGTTCTTTTTATTTTTTCACGCCTATGGGCGCTTTTTAAATATAATATTTTATAATTTTATATGTTTGGTATGTATTATTTTAATTATTAAATAATTTTTAGATTGATTGAAAATTTAAAATAATATTAAAATAAGAAATTTTTTTTTTTACGCTTAGATCTTGTCTAAGCTCGCTCTTAAAGCTTGACCTCCATGCCCCGTGACGCTTTTATACTTTTTAGAACACGGGTAGATATTATACACCCACTGATGTCACTGAAAATTCCAATATTAAAAAGATAATTTGAATGCTAATTTCGATCGAATAAGGATATTTGGAACTATTTAGGGATTTGAATCCTAACATGCACCAAGGAATCCAATCAGGAACTTATTCTCTTTCCTATTATTCGAGAAAGGAATTGGAATATCTGATGCAATGCATCGATGAAGAAAGCACAAGAAAAAACAAAGTACTGGTTGCAAATTATCAAAAATAATAGATTAAGTGGTTATAATGGTGTCGTGATTTGAGTGGACTTTTCCCTCACGTGAGTGTATAAAGGACCGTCGAACTTTATTTTTTTATTTTTACTTTAGTTGATGTTATATCAACTTGTTAGCATACGTTCTCATTTTTTTATCTTCATCTATTCTAATATGACTACACATTCATCCTCATCTTCCTAGAGACATCTCGTTCTTTACAATCCAACACTCGGTACCGTAAAAACTCGTTCCAACTAAAGCAAAAGTTACTCCTTCCTTTTTCTCTATTGAAAATGTGAAGTTTAATATAGCACGTACTTTTCCATTCTAATGCGACGAAGGAATCATCACATGCACAATATAGAAGGAAGGCTAAAAGGGTGGTCTACGTTAACAATGAAGGAACTTCGGGAGTTTGGGAGGCAATTATTTTTAATGTTCTAGATGCATGCTAGGCATTTTAATGTATTAGGTTGCCATAATGATTCCTCCCCACTTAAAATAAAAGGTATTAAAGGTGAAGAGCCTCTTTTTCTCGGTTGAGGGTGACACGTGTGATCAGAATCGTAAAACCTCACGGTAGCAAGTGGACACAAGTAACGTAAATCTCACATTAAAGAACAATGCTAGGTGTACAATCATTAAGGGATTGTAAAATTTACAACCTCTCACATTAGTGTGGGGCCCGCAAAAATGTTGGCCTCACACTAATGTGAGAGGTTGTAAATTTTACAATCCCTTAATGATTGTACAAATGGATTTTTCCTAATTTAGAGGACTGCCATAAATTAAGACAAGAACCTAAGTAGGTACTAATTCTCATGAACTTACTCGAGTCCCAATTCATCGAGGGTTGATTATTCGTAGTATATGTTTACAAGAGTCGTCTCGAAGATTTTGTTGTGGTGACCAAAACTGGGTGAAATGAAGAACCTTCTATCAACAGAGACAATGTGCACTCGATTTCACAAGGCTAAACCCTTCTTTGCTGCAGTTTTTCTGCAGTTTGGTTTTGCAGGAATGGATATCCTCTCTAAAGCAGCATTAAATAAAGGAATGAGTAACTATGTATTTGTCGTCTATCGCCATGCCATAGCCACAATTGTCATGGCCCCTTTTGCACTCATTCTGGACAAGTCAATCTCTCTTTCTCTACCTATTCTAGTTCAAGTGAAGTTAGCAGGCTAATATTACTTCTTTTCCACAGGAACATAAGGCCTAAGATGACTTTTTCGATACTTGGCAAGATAATGCTTCTCGCCTTATTGGAGTAAGTCTCTAAGCCCCTGCTTGACCCTCATTTTCAATCACACATTTTATCAACTTTTGTTAAAAGCTACTAAAACTTTGATTTTTAGCTATATATCCATGTAATAAACTTCTGAGTACCATAACAGGCCGGTTATAGACCAAAACCTGTACTTTCTTGGGATGAAATACACAACAGCAACATTTGCAGCTGCTATGTGCAACGTTCTTCCTGCCGTTACATTAGTCATGGCTTGCATCTTCAGGTTGATATCGTGATGTTTGTTACACAATGTGAATCCCTGCTTACACAAATGCAAACCAAATATTATTAAATATTTTTGTCATAGGCTCGAGAAATTTAAGGTAAGGAGCATCCATAGCCAAGCTAAGTTAGCTGGCACTGTAGCAACTGTGGCAGGAGCCATGCTTATGACCCTATTAAAAGGTCCACTTATAGAGCTGCTATGGACGAAAGGAAGCAGCAGCGACGAACGACAAAGAGTTGAAATGAATCTTCGACATTCAATCAAGGGTTCCCTAATGATCACAATCGGATGTTTCAGCTGGGCTTGCTTCATGAATTTGCAGGTGACTAAACCGTACAAAAATCAATAACTAAGGATATGTTTAGTACACAGTACCAAACGATGCTAATTCTGTACAGTATCATCTAGTCCAACCTATCAAACATGTTGTTTAGGTTCGTGCTTACTGTTACCTGTGTTGTGTATTTCCAGGCTATCACATTAAGAACATATCCTGCTGAGCTTTCTCTCTCAGCTTGGATATGCCTGTTGGGAACAGCCCAGGGAGGGATAGTGGCACTGGTAATGGAGAGGGGGAAAGCTGTGGTCTGGTCTATAAACTGGGACACCAAATTTCTTGCAGTTGCCTACACTGTAAGAGCAACATATTGAAAGAATTTACTTCTAATTAATAATTTGGACATTGATGACGATACTTTGAACACGACCAACTTGTTAGATATAAAAAAAATTATCTTCATTGTGACATGTTTTTAATAAATGGCAATCTATAATGACATGTTTGATATATTGGACTAGACAAGATTTGACAAATAACTTGTTGGAAATGGGTCAAGTTTGACTAATAATTCGTGTGGGACCCGGTATCCGTTTTGTGCGGGACAATGGTCAAAGGCGTTGTACTCCGCGAGTAGATGCTCGTGATATATTTAATTTCACAAAACCATTTCTGGATGAATGAGAAATTAATACTAGAAGTTGACAACTTGAAAGTAAAAATTCTGGAATTTAAAATCAAGTGTGGGTACTTTATCCCACATAGGAAGTTGAAAGAATTTTGAACCAATTTATATACCTCAAGTTTGGATATAGGATTGGGTTCCAAAGGGTATCAATAGTCTTTGGAAGGGGGAAGTCTTAGACAATGTCTAGACTAGTCCAAACCCACACGCGCGTGCCATCGCCGTCCGACTGGTCGGCACGGGCTCGGATCGTGGGTCGTTCCTAACCTTTCAAGGAGTTGCGACTCTTGGCCTACAGCTTTTGAAAATCTATAAATAGGACCCCTGATTTCCGAATTTGATTCATTCAAATATTTTCATTTTCTTCTATTGCATTCTGCATAACAAATATATTTTCCATTCATTGAGAGAGTACGAAGCGTTTCTGGTTCGTCGTTCTTGCTGTTAAGAGTGCTTCTACACTGCAAGAGAGAGATTCTTGTATCTTGGGAGGCGATCGGCGTCAACTGTAAGTACCGTAGCAGGCCAAAATCGTCTTAAGGAAATAAAGTCGAACTCTAACCTCAATCAACTGGTTTCTGCAATTTCGTTAGCATTTATTCGGTTTGACGTTTCCTTCTTTTCATTTCTGATTATGTTACATATCTCGCATGCTAGATAATAGTTCTAACAATCTTAAAATGATTTTTCTGTTTTATTCTTTGCATGCGTGTGTTTATTATAGTTTACATGCATAAACTGATTGTTTAAACGTCAATCTATTTAAATCCTTTTTGCATATATTCATATTGATTACATAATAATTTTGATATATAAATTTATTGTGTTCTCGGGTAATTTACAGTCAGACCCAACCTTATACTTTTTATAATCTATTAATTGATTCTTTATAATTGTTTATCTTCTGTTTTCGTAACAGAAATGGATGTAATAAGTGGGAGTAATGTAGTTTCCCCTAATGGAAATAACAACACTACGGTTCCACCTATGACTGTTCCTATTCAAACCACTCCGGTTCCACATGGAGAAAAATCGGAAAAATTCAGTGGAATGGATTTCAAGAGATGACAACAAAAGATGCTATTTTACTTAACCACACTGAATTTGGCAAAGTTTCTAATTGAGGATGCTCCGGCGGTTCAAGAAGGACCAAACAACAGGGAGTCCCTTATTACTTTACATGCATGAAAGCACTCAAACTTTCTATGCAAAAACTATATTCTTAATGGGCTGGACAATACACTTTATGACGTTTCTAGTGCTATGAAATCTGCAAAAAAATTTTGAGAGTCTTTGGAGAAAAAATACAAAACGGAGGATGCTGGTACAAAGAAATTTATTGTTGGAAAACTCCTTGACTACAAAATGGTGGATTCCAATTAGGGCTGTCCGTGGGTCGGTTCGGTTCGGTTCTGAAGAGACCCGAACCGACCCAAAACTTTCGAGTATTTAATAAATGGACTCGTTGGGTCCAAATATAATTATGGAACCGTTCGGGTTCGGTTCCGTTCGGTTTCGATTTGGGTCGGTTCGGTTCCGTACCATAATTAAGTTTTTTAATATTTACAGCAACACTATATAAATACAACTAATGACATTTCATTCGTAACATTTACAAATTAACGTAGCACAATTCAAAAACTTATAAATAACTAGCCGTCTAATAAAATTAATTCAATGCATACAAATACCAAAAAATATATATTAATATTACAGCAACAATACATAAAGTATATTCGTTTACTTCAAATTAAAATGGGCTAATGGATTTTAAAAATGATTTGGGCTTTAAAATTAAAATTATGAAATAATCTGATTTATTTAATTAATTTGCTAATTTGTTTAGAAAAAAAATAAAATAATTTAATTAAGTCAATATAAAAAATAAAAAAATTATTTAGTTTCGGTTATTATTCGGTTCTTCGGTTCTTGGTCTAGACCCAAAACTCGACCCAAACCCATCGGTTCTCGATTCGGGTACCCGTTCGGGTATTTAATTTAT